CCCCCAGTTAATAACGTGTTTCTTCTTTTTTTTAGAGGGGGGGGCGTGTGTGAGACAGAGTATCCCCCCTCCCCCATTCCTGCCTATGTCTTCCCCCCTTTTCCTGTGGTAGACTTCAAATTCCCGCCTCGAATTCCCTCCAGCTCCCCTTCCTTGGGCAGCTGGTCCCCCCCCCTGACCTTTGTTTTATCGCTTCTCTAAGGCCATGCCTGCCTTGGCTTGCCTCCGTTCCTGAACAGCTCTGGCCGGCCCTCTGCTTCTTCCTTTTCTCTCTTTCTCTGCCCTCCTTCCCCCCCCCCCATAAACACATGCTGTTGTCTGATCCCCCCCCCCCACAAACACCTGCTGCTGTCTGATTCCCCCCCCCCCACACACACTGTGGGGTTTTGTTTTGGAGTTTTGCCCCCTTCTTGTCGCAGGGTTCCTTTCCTCTCTGGTCCCCTCGCCTGCAAAGCGGTTCGCCTCCCCGTTTTTCAAAACCCTTGTTCTAAAAAGGCCTTATCTACTTATTATTATTTTAAAAATAACACATTTGGATGAGATGAAAGTGACAGTGTGTTTTGGCAAGACAGGGATAGTGGTTCCCTGTAAGGATGGACAGATCCGGGTCAGAGAGTTAACCCAGCAGGCTCTGCAGAGATTCTTAAGAACCAAAGAAAAGGTAAGGCATGACTTCACCTGGAATAGTTGTAAGCAGCAGTCCCCTGTGGGCGAGGGGTTTTTGGGCCATGCAGCCTTAGCCACTTCTGTGGCATGCATAAATGTTTTGGAGTGGGTAACTGTATTGAATGTAACTGGCCTTTTTATGCAGAGGTGGGGGTGATAGACATCTGTCAAAAATGACATTGCACTGAATAACTAGGGGGATGGGGGTTGTGGTATATGCTGTCACTTTCCCCTGGAAAAATGCTTGCTCCATATGCCCGCTGATTTAGGAGGAGGGGGAAAAACCCCTATAGCGTCAATGTGTGGTTGGTCTAGCATTTTAAAGAGCGGGTGTGTTTTGCAAACAGCAGTTTTGAGCTTGGAACTAGTAGTTTGATGTGATCCAGATGTTGCGTGAAGTGTTACTCAACAAATAATGAAGACTAGAGCCTAGGCTAATATTTTAAACAGCCTTGCCAAATACTTTTCTATTCCTTTAAAAATTGGCAGGTTTAAAGCTTGGACTCTTATTTTGTTTATCATTTAAAATGTCTTATTCTAATTTGAAATATTGTACTTCTAAGAGTTTGCTCTCCCACAGACTTGTACTTCTCTCCCACAGACTTGAGTTATTTTTCTTCTTCTTCTTCTTCTTTTGCAAGCTAAAGATCAGAGGTGGCCAAAGTTCTTAAACTGAAGATCTCAGTATGTATGAAAGACCCAAGGCCTACATCTCTTCATTCATGTCACCCTCTTTTCCTGCCATTATGAGCCAGAGCATGCATTAGTTGCCAAAGGGATGATGCTCATTCAGACTTCCTGTGGTGAAGGAATTGTATCTGGCCTGTAAAATTTAAAAACAAATACCATGTGGTGTGAAAATATTGCATTCCAAGTCCATGTAGCGTCTTCAGCTGTTGGAGGGGTTATGGAGTATGCAGATTGCTGAGTCCTATCAGGGGAGAGCTTGAATTTTTAATGGTATGGGTGGGACTCGCCATGGGAAGGTGGTTTTTAGGGGTGTTCCTGTGGCAACTATGATGCATGCTCCAGTCCCATGCTGCTTCCTGCTTGTTCCTACCAATTCATCGCCTTGGGGCCCATAAATGAATATTATTTCTCTCATTGGTCCATCCTCCCAACCTGCATGTTGTATGATAGTGTGAGAATGGATAAGAACATAAGAAGAGCCCAGCTGGATCAGACCAGCGCTCCATCTAGTCCAGCGTTCTGTTTCACACAATGGCCAAGCAGGGTGTAGAGGCCAAGGCTTTCCCTCCAGTGTTGTTGATCGTCTGAAGAATGTTGCTTCTGTATATGGAGGTTACCTTTACTCACCATGGCTAGCAGCCATTGGTGGGCCCAACCCTCTATGAATCTGTCTAACCCCCTCTTGCATCTCAGGAGCCCATGTGGCCTAGAACTGCCTTTATCTTCTACCTGTTCTTGCTCTTGTAAGAAGAGGAAGAGAAGAGAGACTAAGAGATTGGATTTATACTCCACCCTTCACTACCCGAAGGAGCTTCAGAGTGGCTTACGATCTTTCCCTTCCCCTCCCCACAAATGGCACCCTGTGACGTAGGTGGGGCTGAGAGAGCTCTGAGAGAACTGTCCTCGAGAGAACAGCTCTGAAAGAACTTGTGACTGACCCAAGGTCACACCAGCAGCTGCATGTGGAGGAGTGGGGAATCAAACCCAGTTCTCCCAGATTAGAGTCCACACTCCTAACCACTACACAAAACTGGCTCACATTGCTTTATAGCTATATGTTGTTCGTGAGTTGATGTTTGGTCGCTTTTTGTACTGGATGGCCAAGACATCTCTGAAAGAACTTGTGACTGACCCAAGGTCACACCAGCAGCTGCATGTGGAGGAGTGGGGAATCAAACCCAGTTCTCCCAGATTAGAGTCCACACTCCTAACCACTACACAAAACTGGCTCACATTGCTTTATAGCTATATGTTGTTCGTGAGTTGATGTTTGGTCGCAGTGAGCATGCAGTGAGTTCTGGTCAGAGACGTCTCATTCTTAGTGGTCAACATCTGTGTCTGTAATGCAGGAGATGATCCCAGATGCTGGAAAGTTGCTGCCAATTAGAGTAGTCTGTACTGGTGTAGATAGACCAGGTGGTTCCACATGTTCATCTTGTGGCCACAGTTCTAGAAGAATTTGTGAGCCAGGCTGTACAGCCTGGTGTTGTAGTTCAGGACTGTTTAGTAATTCCCAGTGCAATCTTATGAGGAGCTACTCCAGTCTAAATCCATCAATGGGTTCAGACTAGAACAATCTTACACAGAGTTACATTGTCAATAAATAACATATTAATTTGATTTCATAAGCTGCCTTAAAGCTTTTTAATGAAAAGTGCAATCCATAACTTAAATAAATAATGAAGAGAAACAAGTGACATCTTTGTTACGTGTGAGTATTAAGCAGTCAGATGATATGTTGTATGCTGAGTGAGAGCTAAATTCAGACTCAAGAACTAGATAGCCGGTATGGCCCCTTCCAGATCTACGATTCTATGAATTGTAGCTTGAAAACAAGTATTGTGTGGGAAAAGCATATTGCTTATTTAAAAACAAATGAGGCTGGGGTTGTTGTTTTTGTTACCAGCTAGTTTTTCCTATACAAAATCATTTTTCTGTTTGCTTTCCTATATGAAATTTGCAAATATTAGTTTAGTTCTCCTCAGTTTCCCCTCAACAGGTGATCATTGTTTGGGAATGTTTGCTAAACTGGTCCTATCCTGAACTGTGCAGAGGATGTAGGAGATCAGGCACTGTGGGAATTGGTTATTTAAACTCTTGCAGTGTGGTGAAAATTTGCCACCGAAAGTGATCCTTAAGGTCTTCAGTTCCTAAATGGATGTTCTTGTGACAGTGTGATACAGCTAGGCTGCTTCCAGCGGGTTGTTGTTTTAAAAAGTAAATGGGTAATGTAAATCAGGTGCTCTGCAAGTGTTTGGGGCTTTTTATTGCTCTGTTGAAAGCATTAAACCCAAGACACCTGCTTGACCCATGTGATTTAGAGGCAGGGTGATTGCAGGCCCCCCCCCCCCCCCCAATTGCTTGTTCACAGGCTGCTTTAGTATGACTTCATGCAGAAGATATTCTTTGAAGGGGGAACCTTTCAGAGATGGCCCTAGGAAACATGCCTAAGTTCTTTCTCTAAGAGATACTTTGCAGTTTTTAGTAATTAATATGCATGAAAAGTACCACACCAGACTACTAATTGCATACAGAAAATCATACTGCAGTGGTTATATTTCTTCTAATAGTTTTTAGCTTTGGAGGGCTAAAACCTAACTGTGAAAGGGGATTGGCAGAACTTGTGGTTCTGCGATAAGCAAAGTGAAGGAAATTGTTTTGTTGCTGGATGAGTCTAGGATTAATGGCTCCATAAAGCTCAGTAATACTTCTTGCTGACTGGAATTTAATGTCTGCGTCGCAAGAATCCAGGATAAAGTCTGAGTTATGTGGGGAGCAAGATTCCTTTGGATAATTAAAGTTAAGCAGCAGTTTCAGGGGAGGAAAGATTAAGATTCAGATTCTTTTGCCTTTTGATAAATGTTTGAATTATGGGTATGTAGCATCTGCATTATCAGGTTATTCATCTAAGCCTAATTTGACAGTTCTGATTTCTTATGTAAAGCCTCTTTAGTTTGTTTCATAAGGAAGCAAGGAGGTATGGAATCCAAAACAAACATTCCACAAACCTTTAAAAAAAGCAGGCCAGACTTTACAATGTAGGATAATCTTCACACACTGTTCTGTGTGAAACAAGTGAATCGTACTTTTGATAAACTATAAAAGGATCGGAAATTTTAAAATGGAAAATATTTTAAAAACCCTATTTTATAAGGACTTTTTTTTTAATCAGCAGCTTGATGTTTAGCCCAGTTGTAGACATGCTTACTCAGAAGTAAGTTCAACAGGGCTTAGTCCTAAAAGGCTGAGCTGAGAATTGCAATCAGGACATATAATCTAAACTGGGGGTTCCTTACTACTGGGCCAGGGGCAGGCCCCCCAATGGCATTTTTTCCTTGCTTCTGTATCAGAGTTTAATTAAGGATTAAGTAGTACTCAGAGTATAAAAAATGGAAGCATCAGGTTCTTTATTGTACCCAGTTCCTCTGTATGGCAAGATAAGCTTTTGGTGCTGGACCAGAATTTGGACAATATCGTGGCATCCAAGAATTTTAAAGAGGTAATAATCAGAAGAGGCATTTACCAGATACAGCTAGCATTTGTAACTCTGTGGAAAGTATTCTTTATTTGGAGTCATTTTACCGCCTCTAAAGGTTCCTTAAACTTGGTTTGTAGGCTCAATATTGAATGCTGCTTTACAAGATTCTCTTTGCCATTTTCAGTTCCATAGGTTGGATCCAGCCAGCTTTTTTCACTGGTGAAAAATAGAGGAGGGAGTCCCCTCTGACCACCAAAAAGTCTATCCTGGATGGAGATCATGGGACTTGCATGGACAAAAGTCATGTGGGATGGGAATTGTAATAAGGAGGGGCATTGGTTGAGATTGAGCAAAATATATATATATATATGGTGGATTCCAACCATTGTTTCCTCTAAGCTGTAGAGTCTTGTGAGCTAAAATTCTACTTTGTGAGCTACTGGCATTAAAGTTGTGAGCAAGTGATTTGGCTACTACATAAATTAGTTTGCTCTGGAACCATCCTTCCTGAGTTAAGACAAACATGTGAGCCGGAGGCTAAAAAACTGTGAGCTGGCTCACACTAACTCAGCTTAGAGGGAACACTGGATCCAACCCTATGAATTTAGGAGCTGACTGTTAATTTCAAAAGAACTAATGGCCCATTTCTAGAATTTAACTTCAGGAAGATAGTTTGTGCTGCTAACATCTTCTACTTAATGGGAAAGTAAGGATGAGATGGTAGAAAAACTGTGACCAAGGTAGGTTTTCTGATATAAATATATGTATATGTGTTTGTGTATGTATATATATGTGTGTGTTTGTTATATATGTATAGATGTATGTTG